CTATCGGTTGATTTGAATAGTTTATTAAAGAACAACATGTAAATCATTTTTGTCATGAACTAGTTAAAAACTCAATGTACTGCCATACTACGGCGTCACAATTATTAACAACTTTGACAATTTTAAGTATGAAAGTTATCATGTGTACGTATTTTTACCTAAATAAAAAAAATATAAGAAAACAAAGAACATAGTTATTTTTTATCACAGTCTTTACCATATTTTGGTAATTAAAGATCATGTAAGTTATATTTCAGGCTGTTACCAATTGAAATTGTCTATAAATTAAATGTATTAATATTTATGGTACTAAAACAATTTTCAAACATAAAGGAATATGTAAAGTACGTACTGCAAATGCTTGTCCACATTATATGTAATCATTAAAATATACATGTATGCATAATGCATTCATTTTTAGCTCGACTATACGAAGTATATGGAGAGCTGTCCTACTCGCCCCGGCGTCGGCGTCGGCGGCCGCGTCCAGATTTTAGATTAAAGTTTTGGTGCAGTAAAATATTTTTCACTATAACTTTGTCATTTCTTAAGGTATCAACTTCAAACTTCAAATATATGTTCCTTATCGTCAACCACATCATATGTGACAAGATTCATAACTCTAGCACCAATATTTTCAGATTTATCTCCCCTTGAACTTAGAATTTTCCTTAAAAAATACTATTTTTTACTGTTACTTCCCTATTTCTTAAGGGATCAACCTCATACTTCAAATATATGTACCTTATCATCATCCCCATCTTATGTGACAAGGTTCATAACTCTAGCACCAATAGTTTCAGATTTATCTCCCCTTGAACTTAGAATTTTCCTCAAAAAGTACTATTTCTTACTCTTTCTTCTTTATTTCTTAAGGGATCAACCTCATACTTCAAATGTACTTACATTATCATCATCCCCATCTTATGTTACAAGGTTCATAACTCTAGCACCAATATTTTCAGATTTATCTCCCTTCGAACTTAGAATTTTCCATAAAAAATATTTTTTTTTCTGTTATTTATTTATTTATTTCTAAAGGGATCAACTTCATACTTCAAATATGTTTACGTTATCATCATCCACATCTTATGTGACAAGGTTCATAACTCTAGCACCAATATTGCAAGAATTATCTCCCCATAAACTTAGATTTTTTTACTAGAAAAATGTTATTTCTTATTATAACTTTTTTATTTTTAAAGGTATCTACCTCAAATTTCAAATACTTATTCCTTATCAACAATTACATTTTATGTGACATTGTTCATAACTCTTGATGCAATATTTACAGATTTATCTCTCTTTGAACTTAGGATTTTCTTTAAGAAATATAATAACTTCTTTTCTTTTTAAGGTATCTACTTCAAACTTCAAATATATATTTTCTTATCATTACACAAATGTTGTGTGACAAGGTCCATAACTCTAGCATGACTATTTCTAGAATTATGCCCCTTGATCTTGGAATTTATGTTAACAAATATTATTTTTTTACTATAACTTAATATATAATTATACATAATTGATTTTTCTTTTCATAGTTTTGTCCTCCTTACTGCGTCCAGTATTTCATTAGTCGAGCTTCGCTGTCTCCTGTGACAGCTCTTGTTTTTTTTAAAGATTCAACTTACACTTATAGAAAATATATTTCTAATTACCTCCCTTTATGAAATGTAATTCCGGTATTATCTTAACAAATAATGCTTTTCGGAACATACAATATTGATAAATCTTCATTTGAGCATTATATATATATGAATAAAATCATAGAAAAATGATTTCAGGATATTTGAATGACGTTAAAATAATAGCAATAATACAAGAAGGAATCACAGACAGCAAAATCCCCCAAGAACATTTTAAAGGGGAAGTAACCCTTACATACGTGAAAATATTCCAAGTAATGATACTCGTGAAAATTAATGAAAAGTTATAGCCTAGACATAATAAATCATGACAAAAATAACACTCCCATGAAAAAAAACAAAGAAAAACAACAAAGAAGCATTAAGTGAACACTTCTGGTCCTTATGCTCTGCTATTCACTTCTATTAAACATGTTCAATATAAAGTTTTAAGTTTATATCTCAAATACCTTTAGAGGTATGGTCCTTGCAAACTAATGATAGTGAATACAAAGAGCATTAACTCCAAAACTGGAGAGTTGTCATTCTTGTTTGCGTGAAATCTATCCTCCAGTGCAATTTCAGATGAATTGATCCTTTATGACACATTGTCCAAAAATTAACGCAAAAAACTGAACAAAAGACAATTACTTCAAAGAACTATTATTCTTGTGTTTTCTAGAGTATTCCTCCTCAATGAGATATATCAACAGTTGGTATCTAAAATATTTGCTCCAGCTTTGCCGTGCCAAGATGTCCTGCCATGTGCTTCCTTACGTCGCAATGTGGTTTATACCTTTTCCCATACTGGTCACAAATACAAATACTTTCTGCAAAACAAAACGTTATTACATTTTTAAAATGTATAAACAATTTGTTTCTTATTTAAGCAACTCTTTTAAACGAAGAATTGTTTCAACACAACTTTTTTCCCTTATACTAATCCTCTAAGAAGACATATTTACGAGACTGTTTAGTAATTTAAATATTAGTATCGTATTTTAAAAATGCTGTTTCATTGAATTCTTACTGATTATATGAATATATGAACGTGAATATAAAGATATTTTGAAAAAAGATAATAATATCTTAAGACAGCAATTTGTATATATTTAGGTCCGAGTGGGAGCATCTCTGAAGTTGAGTCCGAGTGGGAGCATTTTCCATTTTTATAAAAAGAATAAAGAAAAACTGACTTTTGAATAAAAACATTTGACACTTATATAGAATAATGGGTATACATGACTCGGTTTATGTTCCGGTACGTTAAAATAATTTTAAAGAAGGTTTTCAACCTTATTCATATATGCTTCGGGTGAAGTCCGAGTGGGAGCATTCAGAGAAAAACACTTATCCCGTTTTCAGGCCTAAACCAGGCAATAAATCTATAAACTTTTTTTACAATTATCTCAAGTACTATAGCCATTCTTTGGTGCGCTACTTGATTTTTTAATACTCTTACGTTTTCTTATAATAAATTTGTATTTTACCTTTGAGTCGACGAAAAAATGGTCCAAGTGGGAGCATTTAGCAGGTGCGCGATGACGTAGTATCCTACCATTGATATTGGACAGTTTTCGGCTTATATCTACTACGTAATATCAAGTGTGAATGACATACTTTCTACGTACTTTTAATATTAGATAGTACTTTTCTAGCATTATATGTTATATATTTAAGTAATCAAATCATTCATATAACATTATTAATGATAATTGGAAATGGTTAACATGATGTTCGGTTGCAAAGGCTTTTACAAAGATGTCATACACTGAAACATTGGTACTCTGTCTTCAACTGATTCAATCCGCGCACTGCAAAGAATGTATCTCAAGACAACACAAACTTCCATAGTGAAGTGTACAATAGGGGCATCAGTGACGAGTGGTTAAGGTCGTTGTTGATTCGAAACACGACGAGGACTTTGAATTATTTCATGTGTCAAAACTATTCAGCAAGCTTACGGAACGTCGGTTGTTCTACTCAGGTACATGATCGTGCCTGAAATAATGCACGGAAGGACACCCGGGGCCTCCCTCCACCGGTAACGCTGGAACGTCGCCATATGAGTTATATTATGTCGGTGTGACGTAACCCCCCCCCCCAAAAAAAAAAAACCAAAAAGAAACAACTAGAAATGTGTCTATAGGACACGTGTGCCCCCATCGCGCCACTGTTCAGTCAATCTTTATACTAAGTCAAGGGAAATAACTCTACGAATACTGGATAAATCCACAAGCGAAACCCCAGGTGCAAATCTAAAATATGCTGAACAACCTGCCCATAAGGTTTAATGACTGTGTCAAATCCTTTTTGAGAAACTTGCGACACAAGTTGAAAATTGCAAAAAATTTCTTAGTGAAGGGCAATTACTCTAAAAATACTGAATAAATCCAGAGGAAAATACCTGGTGCACAACTGCACATGCTGATCAATATTCCTGTAAAGTTTCATGACTCTAGGCCAATTACTTTTTGAGTTACATGCGACACAAATTGAAAATTGCAAAATTTTACTAAGCAAGGGCAATAACTCTGAACATACTAAAAATATCCAGACCAAAATACCCAGGTGCACAACTACACATGCTGATCAACATTCCTATAAAGTTTCATGACTCTAGGTCAAATACTTTTTGAGTTACATGAGACACAAAAGTGAACGGACGGACGGACCGAAGGACGGCCAGACATACGGACGGACGGACAAGGGTAAATCTAAATGCCCGCCACTAACGTGGGGGCACAAAAAACAAAAAACAAACAAACAAAACCCACACAATAACGAAAACCTTCTTCTGAAGTTATGTATATTGTACATCATTATTTTCAAATACCAAGTGATCAAGATAAAATTGTATCCAGAACTATAAACAGAAAAGTAAATTAAATATGCGCTTTTTGGCATCAATACGATAGGTAAAATGAGTGAACAAGCAATGCAGAGTAAATCTGAATAACTTGAAATGAACAACAATATATCATAGACTCTTCAACAATCTGGAGATAACTAAAACGTAAAACATACCAACGGCCTCACTAGTAATGACACAAAAGATGCACTGTAATTCTAGAAGATATTAAAAAATATTGTTGTCTGTTGTTGTTGTTTTTTTTTATTTATTTATTATATGAGCCGTGTCATGACAAAACCAACATAATTGGTTTGCGACCAGCATGGATCCAGACCAGCCTGCACATCCATGCAGTCTGATCAGGATCCATGCTGTTTGCTATCAGTTTCTCTACTTGTAATAGAGTTGATAAACGAACAGCATGGATCCTGATCAGACTGCGTGGATGAGCAGGCTGGTCTGGATCCATGCTGGTCGCAAAAGCACTATGTTGGGTTTGTCATGACACGGCTCATATCTTTTTTCTTTTTTTTTTCTTTTTATTTTTTTTTTATGAAAAAAAGTAAAAGTAAGGATTTATCACTTTTTATAAGTATACTATTGTAAAGAATCGTGTTGTCTGTTGTTGGTGTTTTTTTTTTATCTGTTTTTCTTATTTATTTATTTATTTGTTATGAAAAAGTAAAAGTAAGGATTTATTACTTTTGTACAGTATTGTAAAGAAGCAAACTACATGTATATTTCAATTCAATTCATTTCCTCGTTATATCTTGATACAATAGATAGATACGTGAGCCCTGGCTTGGGCATTTGTAGTTGCAGCCTGAGCTTCAAACTCGAGTGATTCTACGTCTTTTGATAAGGATTGAGCAACATAGATTTCGCCGGTTGTAGTATCCAAGTCGAAGTATGTTGAGTCACCACTCACGATGGAGTACCTCACAGCTTTCCCCTTTTAGTATAAGATATGTATGAATATTAATTTAACAGTTATATACGAGTTGCCATACAGCATTCTTTTACTAAGATGAAAATGTTTTGTCATGAATTATTTTTCATACTTTTATATTTATCTTCTGATATTAATATTGTGAATTGCCTCAGAAATAAAAAAAGACATAAAAAAGACATAAAGTGTCCAATCACACATGTATATCTAAAATTCCTTTTGTTGACTCGATCTTAAAGTTAACTTATAAACCCCTTCGGAGATATTAAACATTCATCTCAAAATGCAACCCCTTGCTATTTAACAATTATGTAAATGTTTAGGTTACGTGGTAATTAGAAAGGATTTGCATTTACGTCTTTAAAATGTTCCAATTATTATGTCAGAAATTAGAATATAGTTATTATTATGCTCAATAAGCAATCACTTTATTGATAACATATTCTCCTAGACAAAAAACATACTTACAGTCATGCTGTGAGCTTGGAGTCTACCTAACCTAATTCCGACAGGTAATTTAGCCGTTATACCGAAAACGTAGGGAGTATTCTCAAAGAATACTGAGTCGTTACAAAGGACTGGTTGACATACTGAAACAAAAAAATAAAACATAAAATAAAGAAATATAAAAACAAAAACAAAAGTTTTCAGTTGCTTTTGTTGTCGTTTTTGACTTTGCTTGGAAACACTGCCATATAATAAATGTAATTAGATGTCATTTACACCCATTTATGTTTTTTCTGTTCGCATCCTTAATATTTAGCCTTTAATATTAGGATATTTCTAACTTAAGGTCAAGCTTTACATGAATCATTCAGTGTAATTCGAATTATTGAAATCATTATATCAATCAGCATTTCATATATGTTTTTGTAAGTTACTTGAACTTTGTATTCGACTTTGTAACTTTTAAAGTGTCAAGCAACTCACAAATGTTCATTTGTTTCCCCTTAATTTATCTTATTATTATTTATTCATTTATGTTTTTATTTATTTTTATTTATTTATTTGTTTATTTGTTTATTTATTCTGAAAATTTAATGCCTAAAACTTTTACAATATGACGGGTTTCTGAGTTCCATAAAGGGAAACTTTCAATCGTGAACAAAATGTCGATAAATTTACAGAAAAAAAAACAACAAGAATTAAATGATATTGATTATAATACTTTAAAAAACATATTATTACAATTCAAATTTCATTGCAAATCAATAGCTACTAAAATAATCACATATATAACAATTTAATAAACAACTCGAAAATACATCGAATTTGTGAACAGTCACTTATTTATGTGTTACATATTTCAATAATTTTTTCTTCTTTGAGAATCAATCAATCATGAGATAACTCAAATATGGTATTGAATTAACAACAACGTTTATAAAAATACTAAATTAAAATCAACAATATAACAATACACACAAGCGCTTTAGAATGCAAGAAATTTTACAATAAACCATGCTTTTTAGATCGAGGGCATCCAACATAAAATGGATGTCAGCAAAATCACAAACGTGAAACCATGATGAATTCAGAACAAACAAAAGAACACTGAGAAGCCATTTTTACTAAATTGAATACATATTACTCACATAAATACTATATCATTGATTGTCAGATACGTAGTAACTAGACAATAAAATTCCTATTAAATACATAACATGAAATACCTACCGTAATATGTTAACTTATTAAAAAA